GAGGATTGTTCCGGCCCAGGTGCAGAACCTTGCACTTGCTCTTGTTGAACCTCATGAGGTTCACCTGGGGCCACCTCTCCAGCCTGTCCAGGTCCTTTTGGATGACATCCCGTCCCTCTGGTGTATCGACAACACCACACAGCTTGGTATCATCCGCAAACTTGCTGATGGTGCCTTTAATCTCCCTGTCTATATCATTGATAAAAATGTTAAACAGCACCGGTCCCAGCACGGACCCTTGAGGAACACCACTTGTGACTGGTTTCCATCTGGACTTTGAGCCATTGAGTACTACCCTCTGGATGCGACCATCCAGCCAGTTCCTTATCCACTGAACAGTCCACCCATCAAGTCCGTACCCCTCCAATTTGGCAATCAGGATGTTGTGGGGGACAGCTTAGAACTTCGTGCAAACGCAGCTCTTATCTCACAGAAGGCAAGAGTGCCCACAAGCAATCACAAGCTCCACGGGCAGCTTGGACAGCAGATAATAATTTTCTGGATTAACGGTCAAAGAGAGTAATTCAGCTCCTTCAGTGATCAGTAGTGACAAAAAACTGCACGAGATGGCTCAGAAACAGACTGGGTATGCAGAGCAAGACACAGCAATGGACAACTCCCTGGTTTCTCAACCCAGTTAGAACTGCTTTACACAGTTAACTCCTGCTTGCTGAAAGCAAAAATAACAACCCCACAACAGAATACACAGCAGTGTTACGCTTCACCAGCATTTATTTCAAAACAAAGCAAGAATTTACCTTATAGGCTGAGGGTCTATAGGACAATCCAGTAGAACCGTTACTCCAAGTAGGGGCACAGTTACAGAGGCAGCCAAAGTCAAGAAGGTAACACGGAACACCTTGCTGCTGTAAGTACTGCCAAAACCAGACAAGAAACAGGATTAACATGCTGTTTTAATATACAATAGTCTTTAAAAAATTCTTTAACAGCCTGTTTTCTTCACAAATGGAACCAGGGATACTTTTGCCCAACCACCATCTTGAATGACCTTTAAGGTCCATTTTGAACTCATTAAGATAGGAGAAAGGAGTATTTATTCAGTCTCAGGACACTGGCATTATAGGAAGCAGAGTATTCTCTCATACATGTTTCACGCATGCTACAAATTACAGCTAACTCGAAAAAAAAACCCCAAACTTCAAGAAATGGTGGTGGGGGGGTGTGTTTGGTTGTGGGTTTTTTTAACTTTATCTTCACTTTTGGCAATGGCTTCCCCCCCAGCACAAATGTTCAACTAAAACAACAAACATTAGAAGAAGTTAAATGAATGCTTGCTTAACTCTGTGAACTTTGGTTTGAAACTCAAGCCTCAGCACACAAAGGAAATTAAGTATCATTCACCTATCAAAACACACAACAAAAAAAAAAGTAAAAACCCTTCTTCCACAGGAGAAAACCAGGGGTTTTTTTCAGCACAAGTTTAGAGTAATCGCTCAGGTGTTTGCAGAGGAAAGCACGGAGCTGTGCTCAAGAAATCCTAGCCTTGAACTGGAAAAGCAGCTCCCATAATTTTAGCTGCTCTGAACCATTCACTGGCACTGCCAGCCAGTCGCCTCGCAGTGTCAACTAAATAAAGGCAAGCAGTGCCTGATGGTTCTGCATCAATCCTTGGACCACTTCCACTGCTTTGCCCTTCATTAGCCAATCACCCAGGGAGTCCAAAATACGAACTTCTGCCCAGAGCACAAATATCACAACTGGAGAGCTAATGACGTGTACTTACAGTACTGACATCAGCACCAAGGTAACCTTTGGGATTATCAACTGGAACAGCCAGGGCAGAAACTAGGCCTGGATTTGGTCACTGCTTGCACGAACAGCGTGCAGAAGTGGGAATATTCGTAATCCATCACAGCTCTTCCCTGATGGCACCGTCTCCAGCTGAGCTGGACCAGGCAGGGAAACTGCTTCAAACAAGCTTTCTCATCTGCAGTGACCTCTTTGCGCTTCCCAAGAGCCAGATTGCCCTTGTAATTAATCAGAAGAATTCTGCTCTCCCTGCTCTAACAGTAGTAGATGTCACAAGGAAGCAACAGCTCTTGATTGGGGATCGAGAGCAGGTGGTAGAGATGAAACCACTCAAAAGGAAGCAGTCTTCGAGAAATAAGCGCGCATGTGTTAGGACAACGTGCAATAATGTCACTATAGATAACTGTCAAGAAGTAACTAACAATACTAACTTCTGTGTCTGTAACTTCACTAGGATTGTAGATTGTGATTTTAATTACACAGTTCCAGTAACTACTCAGCAACTAATTAATGCAGAATATAATCTATACCAAGAGTTACCAAAATTACAAATAGGGATGGACATTAAGGTTCTCAAAGCAATGCTTGTACATCCTAAAGTAAAGAAATTAGTACAAAAGGTGAACCAGACAACTAAACGCATGCTATGGCAAGTAGAACATAATTCAGAGACTATAAAGAGCGTCCTGACCGAGGTAGAACAAATAGGTCAACATCATTGGTGGGATATCTTTACAGAATACTCCCCAACTGCAACACAAGTTTTCCACTACCTAGTGCACCCAATACTAATCATAACCATAGCTATGCTTTTACTAACTCTCACGAACATATGCCTGTGGCAGAAGTAAAAATCCATAATACAAAAGACCCAAATGATTTGGGCAATGGTGCAGACGTATCAACACCCTTTAGAACTTGACGAAAGAATTCGTAAGTTATAAGAAAAGGGGGGAAATGAAACCACTCAAAAGGAAGCAGTCTTCGAGAAATAAGGAGTTAAAATGTAAGCTAGGTTCCTTCTTTGAATCCTCTATCTCCTAACAAGGTCGACAATACTGTTGCTGCTTCAAGACATCATTGTGCTGGTCTCAGGACTACTCCCTACATTCCTGCCTTCCTCTCTTGTCACTTATCATAGCTCTGAGGAGTTGCAGGCCCCATTTGTGGTCAGTCAGGCTATATTTGCTGGATCTTACCAAATCACGAAGGTAATAAATTGTCTGAGAGAACAGAACGAGTTGATAGGAAGGAACACCAGAACATGAAGTAGTGGCTTCAGCAATTTTAGGATGAACCAAGGTCACTCCGACCTTGCCAAGTACACCAAGAAGCTACCCAAATTAGGAAGAGTTCAGAAGTTTAACCTGAGGAAGACTCACAAGACAATCCCCCACCCTGATGAAGGCACCGGAACTCCCACCAGATGACTACCCAAGATGGAAGACTCCACCTATATATGAATATGCATGTAAAATATGAATATGCATGTAAAGATTATGTAACCTACACTCAAACTTGTATAAAAAAGCTGCACTGATTGCTAACCAACGGAACTCTTTGTCCAGGGTGGCCTGGAGAGTTCCCCAACGCGTTGTTAATAAATACCTCCTGCTTATGGACTTGAAAACTTAGTCTCTGAGCAGTTTCTATTTTCTGAGCAGTTTCTATTTCGCCTTTTGGGGCAAATTCGGCATCAGAGATACGAGGCGATCCCCAAGTTTACACAAAGACTTCAGCTGTCAGCCTTCTCCTTCCACTGTCCTTCAAAAGACAAAGGCTCAATACTATAAGATTAAAAGTACGGTCAGCAGACACCTAAGCATCTTTGTGACAGCTGAGAACAGCTAACACAAAAGGAAGCAGATGAAGATGAATGGGAATTTGTCTGACGAAGCCTAGTTAATTAAAGCTCCTGAAAGCATGATTTAAGCAAAGGTCATATTTCTGATCCTCAGTCAAACTTGCAAGGATTTGGCAATAAAGGAAGAAGGCAGGAAGAATAAGGTGACAAGCAAACTCACACTTCAAGCCTGCAAGCTGCAAGACCTATTTTACACACTGCTGAAACAACAAGAATTTAAATAAACCCCAAAAGCTTTTTTAGAAAGAAAAAAAAAGCTTCTCAGAATTCTTATAAAAGTAAACACACTCAATATAGAACACAGACAACTGTAAGTTACTGACTGGTCACTGGAAATAATCACTGAGGTGATGGTTCACCAATACTGATTAGCAAAACAGAAATCCTCAGCTAATTGTGTGACTGGTAATTAATCCTATGTGGACTCCAGCTCAGTAATGCAACTCACCAGGACTCCAGCTATGATAATATCAATTTAGTTTTCACTAAGAACTAAAAAGAGAAGCCATTGCACCAGTTCTTGAAGACAGACAGGAGGTTGGCAAAACGATGTTATGGGTCACCATAGCCAGGAGTCCAGGCTGTCTCATCCTCTTGGCAGAACTGGTGGGGGGCTGGAGGGGAAAGCAACTGTCATCAAAAGTTTCTGCCACACCTCCCAGCCAGAAAAAGGGCAGCCTCCAGGATTCCTTCCACTTCATGCAGGACAGGACCTGTGGATACCCTGGATCACTGCTAGAGCCCTAGAAACTCAACTAATTTGAGCAGAGTTACCAAGAGAGGGTGAAGCCAGAAAGAGCAGTATCTCAAACTGAAAGATACTGATGCTCTCCTTCAAAAACTGGGGCTATACATTTAAGCCACCATACACAGTCATTCATTCCGATGACCCTGAAGGGCAGATATAACAACCTGCAAGCTACCCAAATCAGAAGGGACATAATTGATGGTGAACCAGAGTATTACAAGTCATCAACCACTTTATTCAGTGGAAGGCAGAGCAACCACCACCACTTTCTTATTGCAGCTATTACCTTTAGTTACACAGAAGCTAGTTTTGTATAAAGTTCTTAAACAGAAAAGTGTAAATGGAATCTTCGTTAACTTAGAATAAACTTAACCACAACCAAATGAACTATTTATATCTCAGGCACATATAGACTACTCTTTAAAATGTAGATTACTCTTTAAACTACCGCCAAATATAAATAGACTTAACCAGAGCTATATAAGACTTAATCACACCCACAATAAGTCTGTGCAAGCCACAACGGGATAACTGTTATTTCTTGACTGGCAAAAGATAAACGGTACTTGAACAGACCCATTGGATAAAAAAAAAACACCAAATCAAAATAAATCACAAAAAAAACCCCAAAAACCAACCAAACCACAGAACAACCCCACAAACAACCCCTAACAGCCACAAATGAGGCCATTTTGGGGGTTCACAAAACAACCCCACAAACAACCCCGAACAGCCACAAATGAGGCCATTTTGGGGGTTAAAAGCTTTTGCTGCAGCTCAACAGAAGCAGGTGTGCAGGGCCCTGCTCAAAACCCTCCTCCCTCTGTCAGGCACTTCTGGCAGAAGCATCAGCACCCAGGGAGAGAAGCACCTGCTGGGGTGCTGGGAGGTCGGAGGTCCTCATGGGCTGAACCCCATGGGTGCCCCGGCATCAACCTGTGCCACTGACCAAGACAGGGGAACTGAGGTCAAGAGAGGGGAACTGAAGGGCTCCCCAGGCCTGCGGTGCCCTGCTCAGCCCCAGGACAGCCAGTCAGCCCCTTCCACTCACCCCTCACCAGGGACAGTCTCTCCCAGGGTGCTCTGACCCAGACCAAGGGCCTCCCTCATGTGGGTCGGGTCAAGCCAGGCCTGTGGAGCCTCTTCCCGTCCCCGCACACTCCCCAGCCACCTTTCCCTCAAGCTGGGCCCCCAAAACCTCAGCCGAACCGGCCCTTTCCCTCGGGTCAAGCCCCCCTTCCATCAGCCAGGCCCAGCCCAGAAGAACTGAGGTCAAGAGAGGGGAACTGAAGCCTCGCTCCCCAGGCCCGCAGTGCCCTGCTCAGCCCCAGGACAGACAGACGGCCCCTTCTACCCACTCCTTGCCAGGGACAGGCTCTCCCAGGGCCTCCCTCATGCGGGTCAGGCCAGGCCTGTGGAGCCTCCTCCCCTCACACTTCCCAGCCACCTTTCCCTCAGGCCGGGCCCCCAAAAAACCCGCCCTCCTCGGCACCTTAACCAAACCAGCCGCTTCCCTTAGCTCAAGCCCCCCTCGCAACAACCAGGCCCTCAGCAGCGCCTCCTCTCCCCTCAGGCCGGGCCGGGCCGGGCTCTGCCCCACTCCCCACGGTCCCGACAGGGCCCCTCTTCTCTCCCTCGTAAAGAGACGGGGGGCGAGGGGAGGGCACCACCGCGCCGGGCCCCACCTGCCCTCCTTAGCCTCCTGCGCCGGGCTGTCCTCGGTAATGACCTGCGGGCGGAACGGCCGGCGCTGCCGCAGGCCCTCCGCCTCATTCATCCTGCCGCCGCCGCCGCCGCGCACCGGAGCTCCCGCCGCCGGCCCCGCCCCCCACGCCCGCCCCCCGGTTAAGCCACGCCCTCGCGCGCGCTCCCTCAGGCGGGAGCCGCCCCCAGGGCGTGAGGCGAAGGGAGTCTCGGTCCATCCGGGGCTGCCGAGTCTGTACCCGCCGCCGCGGGGATTCTCGGCGAGCTCCGCCGCTGCCTCCTGGGAGGGCTCCCGTAGGCAGGGGCCGGTGCTGAGGCCCTGCCTCCCACCCGGGCGCGGCCCGGGTAGGCCGAGTGGCCGGGCCCACAAGGTGGCGCCAGGAGACTGGGAGGGAGCGAGGCCGGGGGGGGAGATGGCCTCCGGTGGGACGGGAAGGCAGAGGGCCGAGCGGAGAGGGCTCTGTCCGGGACGAGGAATCACAGAATCTTCTAGGTTGGAAGGGACCTTAAAGATCATCTTGTCCAACCGTCAAACTAATTTTGACAAAAATAAAGACCCACACAACAAACAAAAAGCAACACCATCACTAAAACATATCTCCCTGCACTACATCAACCCGTCTTTTGAACACCTCCAGGGATGGTGCCTCAACCACCTCCCTGGGCAGCCCATTCCAATGGCTGATAACCCTCTCGGTGAAAATTTTTTTCCCAATATCCAGCCTGAACCTGCCCTGGCATAACTTGAGGCCATTTCCTCTCGTCCTGTCGCCTGGGACTTGAGAGAAGAGACCGACCCCCACCTCTCTACACCCTCCTTTCAGGGGGTTGTAGAGAGCAATAAGGTCTCCCCTCAGCCTCCTCTTCTCCAGGCTGAATAACCCCAGCTCCCTCAGCCTCTCCTCATAAGACTTACTCTCCAGACCCCTCACCAGCTTTGTTGCCCTTCTCTGGACCCGCTCCAGCACCTCGATGTTTTTTTTGTGGTAGGGGGCCCAAAACTGGACACAGTACTCAAGGTGAGGCCTCAACAGTGCCCAGTACAGGGGGACAATCACCTCCCGAGTCCTACTCCCCACGCTGTTCCTGATACAGGCCAGGATGCTGTTGGCCTTCTTGGCCACCTGGGCACACTGCTGGCTCCTGTTCAGCCGACAGTCGAAGGCAATGAACAGGGTTGTTCAGCCTGGAGAAGAGAAGGCTCCGGGGAGACCTTCGAGCAGCCTTCCAGTACCTGAAGGGGCTACAGGAGAGCTGGGGAGTGACTCTTTGTCAGGGAGTGCAGTGACAGGACAAGGGGGAACGGTTTTAAATTGGAAGAGGGGAGACTTAGATTATATAACGGGAAGAAATTATTTGCTGTGAGGGTGGTGAGACACTGGAAGAGGTTGCCTAGAGAAGCTGTGGCTGCCCCATCCCTGGAGGGGCTCAAGGCCAGGCTGGATGGGGCTTGGAGTAACCTGGTCTGGTGAGAGGTGTCCCTGCCCAGGGCAGGGGGTTTGGAACTCCATGATCTTTAAGGTCCCTTCCAACTTGACTATTCTATGATTCTATGATTCTATGAGGCACCTTGTAACAAAATGTGTGGGTTTTCCACAGAGCCAAGAAAGGGGGGTGTGGGGAGGCATGGGGGGGCTTTTCTCTCTTGGAGTTGAATTCAGACAACAGGCCCAGCAGCTGTAAGAAAGCTTAGCAGCGCCGTTCCCTAAAGGCAACCGCTTCCCCAAACAACCATTTCACCCCAGGCCCTTGCGGGTAGTATTGGCATAGCCTCTCCTCCCAGCTCCGCTGTCGGGCTGCTGCTGTTCCTGGGGGTGCAGGGGGTTGGGGCACAGAGGAATAAAAATGGCATCCCTAAGGCTCCAAAGGTAGAGAAAGAAACTGAGTTGTGTCTTCTGCATCCCAGGTGCAGGATGAGTACTGAGGAGCACTGTTGTTTCCGCTTTCCCAGCCTCAACAAACCAAAAAGCCCAATTAAGCTTTGTCACTACAGACACTGGGAACCCAGGCGCACACATACAAGCTACAAAGGAAAAGAAGCAAAAGTGAAGAAGCTGCTGCAGCAGATCATTCACTACCAGTGTTTGCAGGCTGGTAATTTTGCATAGCTGTGACCATTTCCACCACAAAAGGTGGGTACAACCCCAAATCCTTCTATCCAGAACAAAGCAGGGCTGGGCTCACTGCCATGAAAACTTGCTGTGCCTCTAGACTCAGCCAGAAGACAATTCCCTGTCTACAATTGTCTATTTTTTTTTTTCCCCCAAGCTGAAAAAAGAATAATCTATTCCTGCTTAGTTCAGAAACAGAAACTCATTCCGTGACTCGTTAGAGATGCTTGCCAGAGGGTTGTGAGAGTGTTGCTGAGATCAGTTTGTGTGGCTTTAACCGGCCACGGAGACAGCCCCTGGGTATAACTGTGTTAGGCTGGAAAACAGAGTCTCCAGTTTACCAGTAAGTGCTCAGAAAATAAATCAGAGCAGCAAAACATCAAAGTGAAGAGACGGGCACCTGCCTTTTCTATCTAGCCCATTCCGTGACTTGTTAGAGATGCTTGCCAGAGGGTTGTGAGAGCTAAGATTGGCGTTGGAAGCTTTCCAAAATTTCCAGAAGCAGCCGCCAGAGGTAACAGGAGAAGCGGCTAATGAGGATGTTCGGTGTCCATCCCTGCGTTACAACTGTAGTGTTACCTGTGTGGTGGGGTGCAGCTAAGAGTGGCATTGGAAGCTTTCCAAAATTTCCAGAAGCAGCCGCCAGAGGTAACAGGAGAAGCGGCTAATGAGGATGTTCGGTGTCCATCCCTGCGTTACAACTGTAGTGTTACCTGTGTGGTGGGGTGCAGAGGGTGAAACACAATCTTCCTCGCTTCTTAATGGACAAGGCGCCCTGCAGAGGATGCGTTCCTGGCACTTACCAACTATCCATGGCAGAGGATGCGTTCCTGGCACTTACCAACTATCCATGGCACCTGGGAACACATTTCAGGTCAAGGGAAGTCATTCTCCCCCTCTACTCTGCACTGGTGAGGCCACAACTGGAGTACTGCGTCCAGTTCTGGGCTCCCCAGTTCAAGAGGGACAGGGAACTACTAGAAAGAGTCCAGCGTAGGGCAACAAAGATGATTCAAGGATTGGAGCATCTCCCTTATGAGGACTCTTTAGTCTGGAGAACAGAAGTCTGAGGGGAGATCTTATCAACGCCTACAAGTATCTCAAGGGAGGGTTGAAGGAGGAGGGAGCCAGACTCTTTTCAGTGGTTCCCACTGAGAGGACGAGGGGCAACGGGCACAAGTTGGAACATAAGAGGATCCACTCAAATATGAGGAGAAACTTCTTCACGGTGAGGGTGACAGAGCCCTGGAACAGGCTGCCCAGGGAGGGTGTGGAGTCCCCTTCTTTGGAGATTTTCAAGACCCGCCTGGATGCTCCTGAGTAACATGCTCTAGCTCTAGGCAATCCTGCTTCAGCAGGGGAGTTGGACTAGATGATCTCTATGGTCCCTTCCAACTCTAGAAATTCAGTGAAATTTAGTGAAATTCTTACCCGCTTGCCTCTGGAGCAACTACACACTCACTTTCTACACATCCCACTTTCACTCCTTTTCTATGTGCAAGCCAGATCTCGCCTCTGGAGCAACAACACACTCACTTTCTACACGTCCCGCTTTCACTCCTTTTCTATGTGCAAGCCAGAAAGAGATTAGTAGCTGAAATGTCCGTTATCAACGAATGGTAATTATTTGTTCCCGCTAATCGTTCTCTGCTTGCATCACCCAGGAGCACTGGGACCTCGGGATTTCCAGGAGGCACGCAGCTTACTGACATGCAAATGCTTGTTCTTCCAACTTCTTGAGTTGTTTTGCAGCGGCAGTTTTCTGGCAGCAGCTCATTTCCTGCGAGCTGCTGCTTAAAGAGAAAAGCAGCAAAGCAAAACAGCCTTTTGGACCACAAGATGACTCACCCTGATTTCAAACTCCTTTCCCTTTCTTTGCTCTGTGCTGGCAGATTAAAGGAATCAGGACGGGCAGAAGCAGATCGAAAGAATGGAAAAAGTCCCAGAGCCTTTAGGAGATGGAGGGCCGGACCCCTACGATGCAAAGCCAACCCATCACACGGAAAAAGATACAAAGATACTTCCTTTAATGAAAATATGAATACAGACATCATTGAAAAAAAAAAAAAAACCAACAAAACTGGTTTTGGTCAAGGACAATAAATGTGTGTAAAGCATGACTACAAGAATACAAAGTGAAAAAGCTTAACATCAGACTGTACAATATGCACCACATCTCTAGAAAGAGGGACTTTTCCCTTCCCAAAATTAAGAAGATCATGGCCTGTGTCTCCAGTGGGGGAAAAGGCACCATGACTGGGTCTCACTGGCAAAACTGAGGGGGGGGAAAAAAGCAAGTACAAACTGCAACCGGCAAAATTGACTCTGGATCTCTTTTGATGAAGCTACAAAGGCAATCTGGCAAACAACCCCCACGTCACTCAGAGACATACAAAGGTTTAGAAGAATTCAGCAGTTCTGCTTTTCTAAACGAAGCAATTGTAGCCAAGTTTGTCCCAAGATCCCACTGTAAAGTATTCCATTCACTTTCTTCACCGATTAGTGAAAATCCTCCAGGCCCAGGGTCTTTTGGAAGCTGCCTCCTTCCTGGCATTTCAGGAACTGAAGACATCAGTGCCAGTCCTGCTGAACCCCACAGTGAAAAACAAATGAAATTGCTGCATGGGAAGCAGAAAGCACTGTTGCCTTGCACCAGGACTGATGGTCATGAGACATCCAGAGATGTGATGTCTTTTCTCAATGAAAATGCAAAGCTCGACTATAGGGCTGGCCCTGCAGGTACAACCGCTGCAGCCAGCAGTGATCAGGGAGGAAAAGAAGGAAGGGGGACTTCTCTGGCTGGAAGATTTCAGCTGTTTGGGAGCCTACCCAGTAAAGCATGATATTCTCTTTGTAAGAAGTACCACTTCCAAGCCCTGCCTAGCTCCGTTTCTCCGGGTGGTAGGAGATGAACTCAGCACGGGGCGTCAGCTCCAGGAGCTGATGCTGCTATGCTTGCGGTTTTACCAGGAGAGGTGGTGGCTGAGGCATGTCCACTGCAGAACACCCCGTGGGCAGCACAACAGTTCCTCTCTGTGAACACCCCGGGGGGCCCTCCGAGCAGATGGACACCCCAAGGACCACAGCTCAGGTGTGGAAATGCACTCGGAAGAAACAGAGCGGCCCACTGCGGTACCGGACAGAAGGTGTGTGGCACTCAAACCTTGGCACGTGCCGGTGATGTGGTTTTAGCAAAGGTGCTTGTAAGGCTTCAGAATTTCACAGTATGAGGCTTGTTTGTAACTACAGTCTCTCCACAGCACAGCTGGCGTGGCTGTGACTCCATCTATTGAGGTGCTGCAGCTACCTGGTGTTAGCTGGTGTACCTGTAACCTCCACAGCAGCTGTGGTCCTTAAACCCATGCAAGTCAAGATGACAGGGATGCAGGAGAGGGAAGGCACCTATCTCTCATTTTCCCCAAGCAAAGGAACAGCATGACAAACATCTCCATGCACACAGCTCCTCACACAGCTAGTCTCTGTGAGACAGTTCAGACGAATTAGACCATGTGTCTGGGACCACCGGGACACACTTTGGCACAGAAACTTCAGGTCAACGGGACAAGGAAATTCTATACCCCTAATATAAAAAAAAATGCTTTCTTGACTAAATGGAAAGTTAAAAAGTCATTCTTCTTTCTCCACACTGTATCTTGGACTGTGTGGAGACAACTTATTTAAAGAAGGGAATCTATGTTTTCTGTGAAAAGCATTAACTACTGGCTGCTTCCCACTTGAAAATCACTTAAGGAAGTGTTTGTTTTTTTTTTTCCTTTGTAATGGCAATAGAAGATATATGTAGTAGCCATCTCCTAAAACATTAACATCCCATCAACTCTGTCAAACCTTCTGATCTTTGACTTCGCACAAAGTCCAGAGGGTATCTACTTAAGCAAAAATGGATTGCAGTCAGAAGAACGGAAATTTTAACGAAGCATGATATTCCCCACTGTATTACCCAGTCCTAGAGATGTTTAAAATAAACTTTAAAAAAAAAACAACCCCAAACAACAGCAAATGCAGCTAGTGTACTCAGAGGAACTCTGGGATTTAAGACAACATGCCTGTCTTTGAGAACACATTTCACCATGGGTAGCCTGCTGGCCCATTTGGTACCAGAATCTCTGCTGGCCAAAGAACATCTGTCATCTGAAAAAGACAGAGGCAGGACCGCAAGGTTTGATGGAGTGACCCCATTAAGATGGAGCAGCTCTGCCTGAGCCCTTGTGGCACACACTCCCAGGATGAGCACTGTGCACGCTACACTGGCGTATACCTTGAGCTTTTGCACCCAAGGAGAGGGGAGGAATCCTCTACCATGCCTTCCTGGCAAGCTCTCTGGTCCCTCCAACCACTCAGAACCCCTCAGCCAACTTAAACCAAATTTAGCAGTGGCAGAACTCTCCAAGGCATTCGGCACCTACAGGCTTCTCCGTGCCCTTCAGCGGCACAGTGGAGGACAGGAGACTTACTAGCAAATTCTTCTGAACAGCCCAAAATGAAGGAGTGCTTCAATCAAAACGTGTTATAGATAAAACAAGTTCAGAACTAAAACGCTGAATATATTAGTTGCAATTTTGAAAGCGTATGAAAGACAAGGGCTATTGTTCCCTGCTCTTCTGAGGTTGCTGGTCTGGAATGCTACCATCGCTTTCCAGAAGACATCTAAGAGGCACTTTCTTCTTTGTAGACTGTGCAATTTGCGGGCACCCACCTGTCATTTAACTCTTTGGAAGATCAGCATGGCAGCATGTGGAAGGGGCAGACGTGGTAGGGCCCAACTTCAAATGAGAAGGATTAAGTCATAATTTCTGACAGGAGGACCACCCTTTCTCCAAACTGGGTGCTTGTCTTCCTTGGAGCAAGCAAGATTGCAGGCCATTTGGGAGTGGGCTAAAATCACCACTCCTTGGTCAGAAATAACACAGCCCGGCAAGTCACAATGAACCCTCCAGCACCTCTCTCTCTCTCGGCTTCAAAACCTCTCTTGAGCACTTGAGGATTTTGTTTCCAAATGGTTCTCGGACAGACATCATCCCTTTTCATAACGACTTCAAGAAACAAAGGCACTTACACAAATCACCACCTGGCAACAAAGATGTATCACTTGTAGACCACTGTTGTTAATATGCAGAAGTGAATCACAATGGACAGCGCTGACCCAGGTGTCATCACCAATGAGGAAGAGGACAGCTACTTTAAAAACCCAGTTGGTGATCTCAGTTTCTCAAGGCAGAATAAAAACACATGGGACCAGGTCCCTCTTACACAACTGGCAACACGTTGAGGACGTGTAGGAAGCCCAGCGGTAGGTTCTGTGGCTCAGTTTTGTGCCTGGAAGTGCTAGTGTTGGGTTGCTTAGGTGGGACATGAAAGGACACAGGTTCACCACCTCTGGCAAGTTCCATAACACATAGTGGTAGGAACAAAGCCTTAGGAGGAAAGCTGAAGGAGGTATTAGAACAACTGGGTGAACCCAAGAAAGAATTATCGGACTAGCCATGTCCTTCTCATTTTACTAATAACGCATGTGAAACATCTACGAGATTACCCAGCATTGCTGAAAAGGCACCAGAGCTGCAGTGAAGTACAGCGACTTGAACTTGGATATCCAAGCTGAAGGGAAAATTGAAAAAGTGTATTCCAGGGCTTCTTTTGAAAGAGCAAAAGTATTGTATAAAAACATTTCCCTGTACAGTAGCCTTAAAATGAGAAACATTGACGTCTGCATCTTGCTTGAGCTACTATTCAATTTCATCACAGCTAGTGGAAACCACCGACTGCTGCTCTACACCAGCCCTAGAAGCAATGAGAGGGAGCTCACGGACTGTGCAAAACTGCAGATTGCTTCTAGCTCTGTGCATCTCAAAATACGCTGTGGAGCAGAAAAATCTTGTTCCCCTAGAAGGGGAGAAGAGAGAGAACTGTGGCGTTTGCCTGACTATTTGAGACCTTCCACATTTCCAGAGGAGAGAGATTCCAGAGCTGCCTGTTAGGAGGAACTCTTCTCCTTGTACTTTTGGTAAGCATCCAGTATCTCCTTGACAACACTTGGATCATCCAGTGTGGTGACATCTCCCATGTTGCTTCCTTCTTCAGTGACTACTTTCCTCAGCAGCCTTCTCATGATCTTCCCCGATCGGGTTTTAGGCAGACGTTTCACCACCTGCAGAGACGGGAAAGACACACCTACGTTAGAACCTGGGTCCTGCTGGGAACCACAAGGAAATTTGGCTCAACTGTCCTAAGCCTGGCACACCGTCTCATGGCCACAGCTCCTTTGAGGCTCCTGGGAAATATTAGACCATCGAGCACAAAAGTTTACGTCCAAGGAAAAGGAGTGTTGCTAGCATCTATTCCTCATGCTCATCATCATTTATTCTGATTTAAGTGGACTTTGTTCCCCGTTTACTTGGCTTTGTATCTCCAGGCTGGGTGCTGCAGGACACACAGCTTTTTGGAGCTGCATGGACACCCAAGTGCATCTTGAGGCACAGGGTCAGGCTGTGGCTCCCCAGAGCTCTTGCCAAGCACGGTGCTCTCAACTCTTTCCGCACATCCCCTTTACAGGATTGATCAGCGCTTGGCCCAAACAGAGCAGCCTCAGGGTAGGTCCAAAACACGTTCTATAGCAGCCCCACCGAGAAACTACTCTGCAAACTGGAGCAGCTGTAATATCCCAGTAATCCCCTGGGTCACTGCTGGTCCTCGGGCAAGGACAAAGAGCACATGCAGCCCCCTGCGCCTTCCTACCTAGGGATCCCTCCAGATACTTCTGGTTTTCTGCTTCTTCGTCCTGCCAGAGAGGGACACCACCACCACTGCAGGCAGGAAGGTGAGGCTTGCTCGATGTGACCAGTCCTGCTCCTGGTTCCCAGTTACAGTCTCCCACTTACCAGAATGTGGTCAGGCACAGCATATTTTGCTATCTTGGAAGCCACTATAGTTTTGAGCTCTTCTTTGACACGGTCTATATGAGCTGTCTGCTCCTTTAGCACTACGAAAGCAAAGGCACCTGGAAGACAAAAGAGCAGAAGCCACATACCTCATATTAGCTCCTGGCTGGCAAGACCAGGGGCGCCCATTCAAACATCAAGGGCAGGTTTCAAATCATTCCTATGTGCAATCTAGGGACTGCTGAGAAAACCACAGATCTTGTTTACAAAATGGAGTCAGACTCCGGCCCTCAAATGGTCCAGCCTTGTCTTGGCGTCTATCATAGAATCATAGAGTTGTCTGGGTTGGAAGAGACCTTTAAGATCATCTAGTCCAACCATCAACCTAACTCTGATAAAAAAGAACCCATCACTAAAACACGTCTCCAAGCACTATGTCAACCCGTCCTTTAAGTACCTCCAGGGATGGTGTCTCAACCACTTCCCTGGGCAGCCCATTCCAAGGCTTGAGAACCCTTTCAGTGTAAAAAATTTTTCCTAATATCCAACCTGAACCTCCCCTGGTGCAGCTTGTGGCCATTTCCTCTTGTCCTATTGCCTGAGACTTGGGAGAAGAGACTGACCCCCCCTGGCTACACCCTCCTTTCAGGGAGTTGGAGAGAGTGAGGTGGTCTCCCCTCAGCCTCCTTTTCTCCAGGCTGAACACCCCCAACTCCCTCAGCCTCTCCTCATAAGGCTTGTTCTCCAGACCTCTCACCAGCTTCATTGCCCTTACTCTGGACCCGCTCCAGCCCCTCAAGGCCTTTTTTTGTGGTGAGGGGCCAGACTGATCTCAGTGACAATGACAACTCAACGTAAATTAACCAAAGCATCGCTGGAATCAAAAGTTGGCCAACGCAAACCAGCTACTCCCACAGAATCACAGAATTGTGGTGGTTGGAAGGGACCTCAGAGATCATCGAGTCCAACCACAAAAAAAA